TCGACCACTCCATCCTCATACACCGCCCCTCCTCCTTACTTAATCTTTGCGGACCTGCCCTTGCCTGGTTCGATTCCTATCTCTCACGTTTCTCCTCCAGCCCCCGCACTGTCACGTCTGGCATCCCCCAGGGCTCTGTCCTTGGCCCTCTCCTCTTTAATATCTACATGCTCCCCCTTGGTGACATCATCCACAGACATGGGGTCAATTTCCATATGTATGCGGATGACACCCAACTCTATCTTTCTGCCTCCACCCTCAACTCCAGGACCACTGCTGTCCTGACAGACTGTCTGTCGGACATCAAGTCCTGGATGAGGGCAAATTTCCTACAGTTGAATGTGAACAAGACTGAGGCCCTCCTGATTGGCTCGCACCAGCGCCTCAGCACCGCAGGCTCTTGCAGCATCAACCTCCATGGTTGCACACTACAACTCACCAGTCAGGAACCTAGGTGTCTTGTTCGACCCTCAACTGTCTTTTCTTCCTCACATCCAAGCCATAACCCGCTCTGTCTTCCCTCACCTCCATAACATTGCCCGACTCTGACACTACCTCACCCCTCAGGCCATTGAAACTCTTGTTCATGCCTTCACCACCTCCAGGCTCGACTATGCAAACTCCCTGCTTGTCGGCCTTCCCAACTCCTCCCTCCACAGGCTGCAGATAATCCAGAATTCTGCAGCCCATGTCCTCTCCCGCACCAAACTCCGTGACCCCATCTCCCCCATTCTCGCCCGACTCCATTGGCTCCCTATCTTTCAGAGGATCCAGTTCAAGATCCTGATCCTCACCTACAAAGCCCTCCATGACCTCGCCCCACCCTATCTCTGCGACCTCCTAACCCTCTACCAACCCGCCCGCTCCCTCCACTCAGCCGGCACTGGCCTGCTCCACGTCCCCTGACCCACCCGCCCGCCCCACCATTGGTGGGAGAGCCTTCAGCCACTCTGCCCCCAACCTCTGGAATTTCATGACCCAATCACTCCACCTCGCCCCCTCCTTAGCCTCCCTTCAAGTCCCACCTCAAGACCCTCCTCTTCGACCATGCCATCGGCCACCCCCTTCCCCTCCCCTCCCTTCTCCCCCCCTGATCCCAGCACGGGACTGAAATGTACACTGTCCAGCACCTTGGGACTTCCTCCCGACGTGAAAGGTGTTATACAAATGTAATCTTTTTGTTATTGTTGGTGATGGAAACTGTAAAATACTGTAACTAGCTTAGATATTCATGGCACCAAACTCTGTCAATGGCACTGAAGGTATCTGAAGCAATGATTTTGCCTAGAAAATACAGTTAATTCACCTTACAGTATATTCTGTGAAGTGCTTTGAGATTCAAAGAAGAGGCACAATAACAAATGCAAGGATTACTGTTATTATTATGACCAAAATATTTTGAGTAGGATTTCAGGGTCAAGACCAGCAATCAGAAATTGTTAATATTTGAATTTCTCATGATCCATTATCCTTATTTCACCCGAGACAGCGTGGTGAAACTTTCCGGGACGCAAATAAGGGACTTGCTTGATGCTAGAAGCCATTAAAACCACACACAGGGTATTTGTCAAGGGTGTTGAAGGGCAATATATGAATGCAAGTTGTTGTTGATGTTATTTGTCAAGGGTGTTGAAGGGCAATATATGAATGCAAGTTGTTGTTAATGTTATTGTTGTGGTGAAAAAGTGCTGCTGATGAGGTGATGGTTTTCCTGGGGCCTGTTCTCTGGCAAGAGTCTCCTGATATATTCTGTGTTTCCAGCAGGGAATCCGCTGCAGTGAGGCACACCTAATTGTGAGGCTTTGGTGCTGTCCCGAGGTATCATCGGTGAATTCTTGAAAGCCAGGAGTGACGTACAGAGAATTCTCTCCTGAAAATAATTTATGCTGGCGTGGCGCCAGTCATGCTACTGTTTTCAACAACAGTACCTCTTCAACACCCTTGACAAATACCCTGTGTGTGGTTTTAATGGCTTCTAGCATCAAGCAAGTCCCTTAATTGCTTTTTCAACAATTTGTTTGTTAACCAGCACTTACCCTTTGTACCACAATATGTCAATATTATTGTGATAATTTTGATACTGTGATACTGTGATAGCAACAGGAGGAAAATCACTGCCATTATAAATACTACCTACATTTGTTATTCACCTGCACATGATGCAATTATTACCTAGTCCAAGAACAAACTTCTTTGCAGGGGTGTCAGGAAATTGAAAGAGTTAAACGAAAAGATATATCTATCATTCGAACAGTTAAAAGTCAACGTTGACAGAACAGTGTAAAAATTAGGCTGTGGACAGCAGTGTGAAGGCACAGGTGGTCAATTACATCAAAGCCAAGAAAGAGATGACTTCTGTCACAACAGGGATCAACATGACTGTAAATTATAAGAACCTGTGTCATGGTGAGCTACAAGGGAAGCAAGTGAAGCATATAAGTGTTCTGGTAACAAATCATGCAGAACAAATAAAGCTCCAGAAGGATATTTCATAAGGCTCAATCTATGCTGATATGTAGTACACAAGATAGGAAGAGCACCTGGCAAATGGAGCGGAACTAGAAAAATGTGAATAAACTTTGCAGATTCACACTTCATTTGTCCTTGCTACATCGCCACTTCTTACAGAATGATACTCTCAAATAACATGTTGCAAATGATTCAGAAAAAGATGGCTCTTAAAAAACACTGCCTGCTTGTAGTGTTCAATTTGCTAGAACTATGACATGAAGGTTTGATGCCAGTAGTGAAAGACATCAAAAAAATCACACTGTAAATCTATTAACTATTGCTATTATAAATTGTTCCTGATATGTCAAATATTTGTAGTTTTCTCAGAAATGTGGCATTTAGACTGATATAGCTATTTTTGTGGTAAGGGAACATTAAAGAGAAATGCTACTACTCATCAAAGATCTGCAGTGGAAATATTTAACTTTACATTAATTACTACATTTAATACAGTCATATCTGATCATTTAAATAAATATTTACAATGCACATTTTATTTTAGGTTAACAAGATCGGATTACAGAGCTTGCAGCATCACCCATTTCATTGATCTAAGGCCACTTTTTTCTGTGGTGAAAGCCATAAAAATTATATCAACAACAGCAACAAAATTACATTTGTACAGCGCCTTTCACATCGGGAGGATGTCCCAAGACACTGGATAGTCAGAGTTTCGGACCCGAGCTGGGGGTTCAGGATTAGGGAGGGTGGAGAGCAGAGGGGGAAGCAGGGTGATCGAAAGCACGGTTGAAGAAGAGGGTCTTGCGATGGGTCTTGAAGGAGGCAAGGGAGGGGATGAGGTGGAGGAACTGTAGGATGGATTTCCAGAGGGTGAGGGCAGAGTGGCAGAAGGCCCGCCCGCCAATGGTAGGGTGGGTGAGGCGGGGACGTGAAGTAGGCTGGAGCCCACTGAGCGGAGGGAACAGGCAGAAAGGTAGGGGGTAGGAGATCGCAGAGGTAGGGGGAAGCAAGACCATGGAGGGCTTTGAAGGTAAGGACCAGGATCTTGAACTATATCCTCTGTGTGATGGGAAGTCAGTGGAGTCAGGCGAGGATGGGGGTGATAGAGTCACGGAGCCTGGTCCGGGAGAGGACATGGGCTGCAGAGTTCTGGATGATCTGCAGCCTATGGAGGGAGGAGTTGGAGAGACCGATAAGCAATGAGTTTGCATTGTCAAGCCTCGATGTAATGAATGTGTGTATGAGGGTCTCGGAGGCCTGCGGTGTGAGACAGTGGCAGAGCTGGGTGATGTTGCGGAGGTGGGGGAAGGCAGAGCGGGTCATGGCACGGATGTGGGGTAGAAAGGATAGTTGAGGGTGAAACAAGATGCCAAGGTTCCGGACTGGCTTAGTAAGGTGGAGTGTGTAACCATGGATGGTGATGCTGTCAGCGCCTGAGGTGTGGAGAAGCTGACGGGAGCCAATCAGGAGAGCCTCGGTCTTATTGACTTACAACTGAAGAAAGTTAGCTCTCATCCAGGACTTGATGTCCGACAGACATTCTGTCAGGACAGCAGTGGTCCTGGAGTCAAGGGTGGAGTTAGACTGTAAATAATGTCACCAAGAGGGAACAGATAGATATGGGCTAAGACAGAGCCCTGGGGAATGCTGAACAAGATGGTGTGGGGGCTAGAGGAGAAATTGTTTGTGGAGATGAAGTGGAGGCAATGTGAGAGACGACCTGAACCAATCAAGGGCAGAGTTGTGAAGATTGAGGAGAGAGGAGAGGCAGTGGATGAGAATAGAGCGGTCAATAGTGTCGAAGGCAGCAGAGAGGTCAAGGAGGACGAGGAGGCAGAGGGAGCCCTGGTCGCAGATGGACAGAATGTCACTTGTCACTTTGACCAGGGCTGTTTCTGTGCTGTGGGTGGCACAGAAACCCAATTGGAGGGGTTCATGAAGGGATTGGCGGGAGAGGAAGGAGTGAAGCTGGAAAGCAGCAATTCATTCCAGGACCTTGGACAGGAAAGGGAGGCTGGACGTGGGGCAGTAGTTTGAGAGCAGAGATGGGTCTAGGGAGGATTTTTTAAGGATAGGAGTGATGATTGCTGTTTTTAATGGGGTGGGAACAGTACCAGTGGACAGGCAGAGGTTTATGATATCTGTGAGTAAAGGGGCTAGGAGAACCAATAGAGTCATATATCTAGAAAGAGAAGTGATTTTCAAAGTGTGATCTCGACAGAGTGCCAGAATATTGCTTGAAGCTTGATTTTTTTCATATAGTGAGCTTCCAATTTTAATTGGTCACTTGTGAGGAAGCAATAAGCAGATGTAAAGGGGGCAAGGGTTTTGGGGAAGATAAGAGGCTTTTGTATAACTTCTAGTGACCAGCTAAAAAATAACAATGACAAAAGATCCGAGAAGAAGTTACTTGGTAATGATTAGATGGTGTTGGGAATCTAAATGCGAGGTGAACAATTTTTAAATAGGCAATTTGTTCCCCCCAGAAATCAGATGTATAGCTGATAAAAAGAGTCTAGTTACATTACCTTCTTTTGCTTGGTATGACGCCCATCTCTTCACTGTCTCCTTCAGGTGTAACTCTTCGTGCTTGCCACCATTCATCATCAGATGCGTTGATAACATGCAATATGTCTCCATAATTGAAGCTAAGACCTTGACTTGGAAGTCCACTATCCTTGGTTTTGTCATAGTCAAACAGAGCTCTGAAAAAGACATTTAAAAATTGATTTGGGATTTTAATTTGTTGCTATTTAGGTGCCTCTAATGTCCGCTTTCTAAACACATAGTTTAAATCAAAACATATCTTAGGATTTTCATATTTTCTAATAACATTTATAACAGTACAAATGACAGGTGCTTGAGGACCTTATTTCACAATGCTTAATCCTTAAAAGTAAAGCATCTGCTCGAAAAGTACTGACAGACCAGAGGTAAGAGGAAATTTGACACATTCCAGAGGATGCACAGATTCCTAGTAGCACATCAAAGATTAGCACTTGTCATGAATTACGATGAAATCACAAGGGCACAGTCCCAAACAATGTATGCTGCGTTTGGTGGATAGTAATCCCCAAAAAGAATAAAAATAGGCAGGAATGAGTGTCCTTTTTAATATATCCGGATATTATTTGGTAAACTTAGAACCATCCAATTGTAGTCAATGAAGTTGGTAAAAATGGGACCAGTATTTTAAGTTCTTCACTGCTTCAAAAATATTTAATATTTGATAAACATACATTTTTCATTCAGAGTTCTAAAATATTAATTAGATTGTTAAATTCTTTAAATCCCGAAGGAGAATTTCTACTTTTAATTATTATTAATGCATGTCTATCTATACCTTCCCTCACTATATTACTTATTAAATGTGACTTAATTTTCTATTTTAATATGAACACCAAAATATTAATACTGTCAAACTACTGCTCATCTAACAATGCAACATAAATTATCTCGATTGTCATTCTGATTCTTACTTGTAACAATGCAAATATTTTGTGGAAAATGACTTCTCATCTACAGAGCCTTGAATGCCCGTTGCCAAACAAGCAGTTTTTTCTATACCTCGCTTATCTCTCTCCTGAAATTCCATTGCTAATTATAATAGTATCTTTATTAAATAGTTAGCTGAACCTGTTAAATGACATAACCTCGTCTGAAATTAAACCATTTATTAGATTGTTCCATGATTGTTCCTTCAGTAAGTACAGTATTACAGCACTTATGTCTTGTAAACAGCAATATCCAATGTTGAATAGCTATCATGCTGCACGATAGGATTGAATAGTTGTGCAGTGTTAGGTACTTCAAAATGCTGCGATAAGCAATTACTGTAATAAGATGTGTGTGCGTGTCCAAAATTCCCCATGGGATGGTACCAGGCTGGTTGATGTGTCACCAGTTGTAGTCTTGCGGAACTGTCTGGCTCAGGATCTGGACTACTGAGATTGCTTCAGGTGGTTGCCTCAGTTCTGACATATTATTGCCGAGCACATCACTTTATAGCCAGCTCAGCCCCTAGGAGACTCCACATACCTTCCACGTCCCACAGGAAGAAAAGAACACCAATCAACAGGTGTGTGTCAATTTCCCTTATTTAGTTCACAATATGAGAAGACAGTGTAAACAATGCTTGCAGCATTGCGAAAATAGTGTAGAAATTGTTTCCTTCCCTGTAATATAATAATGGCATTAATAACATATTTTATTGTTTTTTAATACTCTTTATTCAGCATTTGCTTTGCTTGCTGTGCTATGAAGGCAAATAAAAGAATAGTACAGTATGCTGGTTTGCTATCCCAGATCCTGGTTTGGCACAAGTGAAAATACTCTTATTAACATTTTATGGCATCTATTTATCATTTGCTGTACTGGTACTAAGATAAATATGACACTGTATTCGCTTACTGGTCAGTGAAAGAGAAATGGTAGCCAAGTACAAAACCAGGAATTGTATTGCAAGCATCACAATTGCTTTTTTCACTGCTTTGATCAAGCTGACTCAAATACTATGGGTGAACGGACAAAGAGGAAGCAACAGAAAGGAAAGAACGTACAAAATCCAAATGAGTCATCAATTCAAATAACTAGAGTTGGACATTTCACCTACCAAATGCATCATCATAACAGTCTTCATAAGACATTTTCCATCAAGACATTTTCCCTGAGTGCTGGTAAAAGCAGCAACACAGATAGTAAGACTTAACTAGATTAACCTACTAACTCCTGTACTGGTTCCTATGTCTTTGTATCAATGAGATTGGAATGTACGTGCAAGATTACTGCAGCTTTACTCTCTGCTTAGCTGGAAGAATTGCAAAAAGTGTTAATTTTCAACGCAAGACTTGAAAAGAGCATTTAGTATTTTATGAATTGGAAAAAAATACATACAGTTCAGTACTGCTCATAGGTGCTTGATACTCACATTCACTTTAAATGTCTCTTCTGCTCTATTATACTATCAGGAACACACTGTACTGATCAGCACTTAGCACTAAATCATTGAATCTGCAGAATTATCCAACACAGTACTGCAGCAAAGTACATCCACGGAAAGCAAGGATGATTTATGAATCCTTGTCCACAGTATCTAAACTATCACATTGATCAGCTTTAAGAACTACATACACTATGATATTTCATTTTAAAAAAACATCTGCCCCAAAATACATACATGTTCATTCTGTCTATTACCAGTTAAATAAACAAAACATACCACTTCTTTCAAGTCCATAGATTCATAGAATATTGCAGCACAGAAGGAGGCCATTCGGCCCATCGTGCCTATGCTGGCTTTTTGGAAGAGACTACTCAATCAGTCCCACTCTTCCACTCTTTCCCCATACCCTTGCCAATTTTCCTTTTCAAGTACCTATCCAATTCCCTTTTGAAAGTTGTTATTGAATCTGTTTCCACCACCCTTTCAGGCAGTGCATTCCAGACCGTAACATCTTTCTGTGTAAAAAAATGTCTCAACTCCCCTCTGGTTCTTTTGCCAATTATCTTAAATCTATGTCCCCTGGTTATCAACCCACTTGCCAGTGGAAACAGTTTCTCCCTATCAAAACCCCTCATAATTTTGAACACCTCCATTAAGTGGAGTCCTGTAGCTCAGTGGTTAGAGCACTCGCTTTGCAAGTGCGAGACCTGAGTTCAATTCCAGGCAGGGCGAAACCTTGGGCAAGTTTCCTTACTCCACACGCCTAATAATAATCCCTCCAAAAACCAAAAACAATAATAAAAATTGGTCATTTTCAATCTACGACTGTTTGTGGGACATTGCTGTGCGCAATTGGCTGCCGCGTTCGCCCACAAATATACAGTCAATTCACTTTACAGTGTGTTCTGTGAAGCGCTTTGGGACGTCCTCCCGACGTGAGAAGCGCTATATCAAATGCAAGGATTATTATTATTAAATCTCGCCTTAACCTTCTCTGCTCTAAGGAGAACAATCACAGTTTCTTTCATCTCTCCACATAACTAAAGTCCCTAATCTCTGGTACTATTATTTAAAATCTGCTCTGCACCCTCTCCAAGGTCTTGATATCCTTCCTAAAGTGTGGTGCCCAGAATGGGACACAATACTCCAGCTGTGGCCTAACCAGTGATTTAAAAAGGTTTAGCATAACTTCCTTGCTTTTGTACCCTATGCCTCTATTTTAAAGCCAAGGATCGTACATGCTTTTTTTAACAGCTCTATCAACCTGTTCTGTCACCTTCAAAGGTATGTAATCCACCAGTCTCTCTGCTCCTGAACCCCTTTAAAACGGTACCATTTAAACCACCTCTTTCAAGTTAATATATGTTAAGCTTTGAATTTCATGTATGAAATGCTCTTGGCTTATTAACTCATGCAACTGCATATACTGTATTTATTTTGGCACTTAGAAAAGGAGTATATTGACCTCCACTGTTAAATTTAAGGCTGACACATATTGAAAATAAACCCTCCATTACAATACCATAACTTATTTAAGCAATATTTAAAGAGGATCACAAATGTGTTAAGTTATTCCTCTGAATATTCACTGAAAGTGCAGGCCCTTATTCTGCACCACATTTACATGTTAACTTGACAACTTAAATGCCAAAAACAAGATTTAAATGAAAAGCGATCTTCATTTTGCTGTGATGTTGATGGCAGCACTTACTCTTTGATCAAATCTGTACTGGTTACAACTAAAGTATGCCACGTCCACTTTTTCATGTATTATTTACTAGTTCCTCTTTGCTGTACTTCTCTCAATGCTTGATTGTTTCTGAATTACCAATACAAAGATGTGTGTTACAGACTCAGATCTGAGGTTACTTCAAAAAGCCTCAGATGCTTCAGATTATCTATGTGCTTCTTAAATATTATGAGGTAATTTTTTAGGATTGTTTAAAATACTTTCTCCAACAATAACAATACTTATATTTGATTTAGCATCCTTCATGCGGGAAGACTTCTCAAAGTAATTCACAGGGTATACTGTAAAGTGTAGTGTTGTAGGTAAATAACTAATAATTAATGATAATTCTCTAATACATAATTTTAACGAATATCTAAAAATAATAAACCTTGCAAGCCAAAGACCTAACAGGTAGGGTGGTGCCAGACAACGCTTTCAATAGCAAGCAATGTGGTTTTAGCCGGTTAAACTCCAGCAGTCCCTGAACTCATTTTCTGGGTCCCCAGGTCTTGGCTCTTGCTAACTTCATAGAATCATAAAAGTTTACAGCACAGAAGGAGCCCATTCGGCCCATCGTGTCTGTGCCGGCTCTTTGAAAAGAGCTATCCAAATCAATCCCACTCCTCCGCGCTCTCCCCATATCCCTGCAAACTTGTCCTCCCCAAACTTGTGCCCCAAATTCTCTGGAATTAGGCATTCACAGGGTGTGTTCCTCTGGGGAGAAACTGTGTGCATTCTATTCCAAACATGGGAATTTTCATGTGTAGGTGGAATGCTTGGAACTCTCAGTCGGGATACTCTTAAGCAGTGTGATAGTTTTCCACATTTGTCAAACACTGAGTTGATCAAAAAAATGTTGTAGGTGAACATAAGTTGTTTAAAACTTACACAACATACCGTCAATAGCTCAGTTGCTAAAAAAAACACTGTCCAATATGAAACTGAGCCAGTAGACCCATAAGTCCCAGTCTTGATCAAACTTGGTTCTGATTCTGTAAATAAATTCCACTGTTCATCCATCCATCAATCTA